TTGCTTTACTTTAGCGGTTTTCGTGGCTGACTTGCTTGACTCTCCCTTCAGATTTTTTTGTCTGAATAATAAAATTCACTTTTCCCTATCTAATGCTAATAACGGCGCAAGTTTTAAAAGAAAAATGGTTTGAAAATGACGGTTTTTGCTCTTTCACAAAAGTAGTTATAAAAACTCTCTTTCAAAATCACTCATTCATTCATTCATTCATTTGCGCGCACTCGCGCATTCAATCATTTTCATTCATTCAATCATTCTCAATCATTCAATCGTGTGGCACGTGCCAAATCATACTTAATTACTAATATAATTTGTTTTCGGAAAAAATAAAATTAATTATGACTTAAAGATTTGCAATCATTTAATATATATGGAAACTGTACGCCCCGCAAAGAAAACCGTAAAGATCACAACTAAGTACTATGTTCATCCAGTGTTTCAAAATAATGCCGTGTCAAAATCAGGAGAAATAATCAACATTAAAACCAAGAGAGAATTAAAACCAGGAATAAATTCCAGAACTGGTTATACTCACATTAACATATGTGACAAAACTCTATACAAACCTAAAGCTTATTAGGTTCATAGATTTGTTTGGGAATCAATAAAAGTTGAAATTTTAAACGACTTAGAAATAAACCACATTATATGAAATTAAAACCGATAATCGACTGAAAAATCTAGAACTGGTAACGCATCAGAAAAATATTGAATTATTAGAAAACAAAAAGATTTACTCGATAAATATAGTAACGAAAGAAAAACAAATTTTCGATAGCTTGACTAAAGCATCAGTTGAATTAAGAATTGATGTTAAAGTGTTTATGGGGAAAAGATGATGGACCAAATGTTTTTTTAAAGGAATGAATAAATGGCTTCACATCTTTCTGATATCTTTTACTACAAACAGATTGAATACACAGATAAAAAAGGCAAAACAAAGAAAAAGAAAGATGATACAGCTGCTCCTGTTCATTATGAAAAATAATGAGTTTATTCCGCTGAAAAGGAAATGACAAAGTTAACCCTTTTGATTATCTTAATCAGTATTGCAAAGTAAAAATGGCGCTCATTATCGAGAGTATTTATCTCTCAAAAAATGTTATTTCCCTTCAAATCAAAGCTAGTGAAGTTTACGTGAAACCACTCAAACCAAGAGAAGCATTACTGACAATCAAACAAAACGATGATGAGGAAGATAGTGACAATAAGGAAGATGAAATTAAAACCCGAATATCCCTGATTTTTCTGATATTGAAGAAGATAAAACTATTTCTAATATATTATTTTGTATTAAAAATCAACCAAATCACTAAAACTCACTTTTTCCTGTTATCTCGTCTTAACACTTTTTCAATTCTGTATTCTGTAACTCTTGCTCGAAAAAAGAGCCCTCAATCGTTTCTCCCATTAAGTCAACAATTTCATAAGTAACAGGTTTTGTTGGTAAAACTTTATCAATTGTGAAAATTTCCTCCGTCCAGTTTGGTGTGTAACCTTTATCAAATATTTGCCTCTTATATTTTGAAATACGAACTTTATCACCAATTACAAACTTTGGTTTTTTGAGTTTTAAGTAAATCAAATCGCCTTATAAATTAGCAAAAAATTTTTTCCTCATTTTTCTTTTTACTTGCTTCAACAGGCTTCATTTTCGTATTCGAATGTCTTGAGTTATTATAATCATCGACTAATTTATCTATCTTTTCTCAGTAAACAGTGTTGTTATTCACAGTAAAAATCTTCCACATTCTGTTTTTTATTGTTTTATTCCATCTCTCAACCATGCTTGATTTCTCTTCATTTTCAGTGTGATATAACCTTATTCGTTTACTCTTTAAAAACGCTTTGAAATGTTTAGTGATAAACTCAGGACCTTTATCAGTCAATAGCATCTTTGGCAAACGTTTACTCTTTTTAAATATTTCATCAAATGCTTTACTGACAGTTTCAGTTTTTCTTGTCTTTCAGAGGCTTTATCCACAGACACTATAATCAATATCGTGTTGCATACTGACAGCATCAGTTTTCTAGTTGGTTGTTCATAGATTTCCAATATCTGGCCTGTTTGAGGATCATATTTCAATTGAGAATCGAGTGGGTTACCAGGTCTAGTATACTTATGCCCAGGCAGCGCAAAGCCTTTTTTCGGAGCCACTTTCAGAATGGCATTATGAATATTGACTTTACCAACTACCCGTCCATAAGAAATTGGCTTCCGGCGCCCTATTTTTCCTCCCCCAAGATTTGGAAGGGGTTTATTGCATGGTTAAACTTAAAACAAATGTCAACAAACTTTTATCATATACCAACCGTTTAACTGTGCTGTAAGCATTTTTGTAATGTGGTTCTCTGTCTTTTTTGAATCAACAGATTTGTTACTAGTTTGCTTTGCGACCCACTCATATGCTTTTTGAACTGCTGTTAAGGGATTAAGACCGCCTTCTTAAAGCATATTTGACAAACCAAGAGTATGTAGAAATTGTGCTAGGTTTCCTTT